TAAAATGCCAAAGGTTAAAGACAAAGAGAGAATCTTAAAAGCAGCAAGAGAAAAGCAATTAGTTACCTACAAGGGAGCACCCATACGACTGTCAGCTGATTTCTCAACAGAAACCTTGCAGGCCAGAAGGGAGTGGCAAGAAATATTCAAAGTCATGAAAAACATGGAACTACAACCCAAATTGCTCTACCCAGCAAAGCTCTCATTTAGAATTGAAGGTCAAATAAAGAGCTTCACAGATAAGAAAAAGCTAAAGGAGTTCATCACCACCAGACCAGCACTACAGGAAAAGTTGAAGGGTCNTCACCACCAGACCAGCACTACAGGATATGTTGAAGGATCTTCTTCAAGAAGCAGCTAATGAACAAAAGAACCTGACAAATGAAATAGATCCAGAGACATTGACACATGCAACAGATGATCATATTTCAAAGGAAAGAGGGAAGGGGGGTGGAGGGTGGGAAGAGATTAACCAGAGAAGTTATATGCATATATGCATAACCCATGGACACAGTTAATAACGGGGTGAAGGCCTGGGGAGGGGGTAGGAGCGAAGTGGAGGAGGTCAATTGGGGGGAAAAATGGGACACCTGTAATACTCTCAACAATAAAGATAAATTAAAAAAAAGAAAAAGATGAACTGGACTAGACTGTGAACCAGATAAACAGATTTCTTCCTCTTTTTTATGGTTCTGATCACTGTTGGTTCAGTGTTTACTACAGAAGCACAGCTTCTTCAAGAGTCATCTAAGGAAAAAAGGGCTTATTGATTCAAACAAAATGTTTGTGACACGCAGCATACTTCTCTATCCCTTCCTGGAGATTTCACAATGCACATGGCATGTTAGGGACTCTGAGAAGTCTTATAATCAAGATCTTTTTGATCTTTGTGTAACTCGGCCCTTCTCAAACTTACTTAAGTGTGGGATATTTCTTTTCACATAACACTTATAAATACCCCCAAAGGACTTGTGTTCTGAGGAACAGACATTCAGAATCACTTCTCCGAGCCATATTTGTTTTCCTCATTACTGCCTGGTGTTCTAAGGGAGGTTCGGGTGTGTGTGTGTAAAATGAGTAGGTGAGGGGACGGTTAGGGCTTTTAACTGAACCAACTGAAAAGAGAAATGCCAAAGAGATGGATTAAAATATAAAAGCAAAGACCCCACCGCAAACCAGGAAGTCCACAAAATTTAGTTAACATTTATTGAGGACATACTGTCAGGTACTGTTTTAAGTGCTATATAATTATGAAAACATTACCTCAACAACCCAATGAGGTAACTACTACTTTTATTCCCAGGTAACAGATAAGGAATGCTGAGGCTCAGAGAGGTAAGTGGAGAAGTCACACTCTGAGCTCAGGCTGGCTGGTTCTAGAATCAGTTCTCTTCAACACTGTCAGACTGCCCTCTGAACTCTCCAAAGAGAGGGAAGCCAAAGAGATCCCACATTTCCCCAGCACAGAGACAAGAGTCTGTCATTCTTGGTTCCCACAGAACGCCTAGGCATGCCCACACCTGTTCATATAGGCCCTCTGAACTTTCTAGCTATGTGACTTTGGAATGCGACTTAACCTCTCTGTTTCACGTTTTCACGTATAAAATTTAAAAAAGAAAAAATATATACCCATGCCCTAGCTGGTTTGGCTCAGTGGTTAGAGTGTTGGCCTTTGGACTGAAGGGTCCTGGGTATGATTTTCGCCAAGGGCACATACCTCCGTTGCAGGCTCGATCCCCGGCCCTGGTCGGGGCACATGTGGAAGGCAACCAATCGATTTTCTCTCTGTTTCCCTTCCACTCTCTCTGAAAAGCAATGGAAAAAATATCCTCAGGTGAGGATTAAAATATATATGTATATATTTAAAATATACATGTAAGTATATATTTTAAAATATGTATGTAAATATATAGACACACACACACACAAACATACTTCAAAGGATGCCATACGGCATGCTCAATAGGTCCATTGTTGGGCCAGGCTCCCAAAGTCTCTGCCTATTGACCCTGGTCTGTCCACTACTCTGTCAGAATAGCACTCACAATACTGTTCTCCAGGCTAAACACTGACAGATTCTTTAACCGTGTTTTCCAAACTATGGCTTTCAGAATGCTTTCCCTTCTGCTTGTATTTTAAACAGCTCTTATGCCAATGTGCAGCGTTCTGAGCACTCTTTCTTGAATAAATCATGAAAAGAGCTTTCTTTTTTTGTCCTTAAAAGGCTGAATTTCAAAAGAGTTGAAATGGTCAGTACCAATATAAACTAAAATGTTAAAGCTAAAACAGAATTTTATTTTGAAAAAATTGTTTCCTTTGTCATCTATATTTATTCCTTCCCACAACAAACACTTCAATGCAACAGTTACTGAGTCTTAAGATAGGCCAATTACAGGACCATGTTGGGCATTAGTTGAATGAATGATGGCATATTTTTCTCTGTCACTTTAATAAGAACTGAGTCTTTTCTTACACAAGAAGATACTTTAAGGAGGACTTGACCAGATGCCCTCAAAATTTTCTCTTAATCCTCAGATTCTGCGACTTGAGACTTCTGCAATTTTGCTCAGAGTACACATAAACTGAAGTCCTACTCATTCTAATGCAGTAAGTTCATTACACATTATTTAAAGGAAACTTTATAACTATAATATATAAATTATAAATATATATATATATTTCCCATTTCCCTTTTCTTCTAGGAAATTGCTTCTTCAGAGGGTGACTACATTGGTTTTAAAGTGGTTTATCTACTCCTGCTGTTGGTTTTCCCATTCAACATGTTAATCCCGTCTATTTTGTCAGATAATCCTTTAGTTATTCCCATCAGGCATAAATAAATGTTTCCAGTTACAGAAATCCACGGCAGCAATATTCCATATTCCAGAAGACCACAAAGAATTTTTGACAAGGCAGCAGCCCTCTGGAACTCAGCACAAATAGATGCAAAGGCGCCGCTCAGTTTGTCAGTTCCTTTGATGACATGGACAATGGTCTGGGATGCGTTGGAAATAAAAGAGCTTTGTGTGGCCCTGTGATCAAAACTGATAATAAATCACACAAGGACCTCCCTCAGAGGTGTTCACAGATAGCAAAGTGGTGAGGTTTTTGTAAACAGGGTGACAAAGCAAAACATGGGGATCAAACATAATCTATCGTTCATGGTCACAGACTCCATTTACTAAAATCTAACGACAGCTAATGCATTTGTATGTCTCTCCATTTTTACATGTTTTAATCACTAGCTAGTCCCATCTTTCTTATAGGAAGTGTTTCTTGGTAAAGGATTTAAAACTTTAATTAGGGAAGAAATATAAGGAATTACAAAGTATTAAACTCTTAGTAATTAAAGTTTATAAGGTCAAATCCTCAAGTGTCATGTCAGTCATACCACATACACAAAGATACACAAATCAGATACATAGACACCAATGAAGGAGATGTTATTTTTGTCTCACTTTATGCTGAACTTTATTGAAGGCTCCACTAGCGCCTTAAAAAAATACAGAAACTTCTTGAACATACATCAATTATCTGGAGGAATAAAGATGACTCTCCAAGTGCTTATTGTCAAAACTCTGGAAAAAGAGAATTTCTCTCTTCAGTATTTAAAAAATTGGTATCTAAATAATTTCAGTTTACACTAGGTTAGTAACTTCGGTCTTCTCCATTGAGCTGTTAAAATTGAAAAAATTTCAAGTTCTAAATATAATAAAGGCGTAGGTACACATTCAAATTGAAAATGGGTATTTCCTATTACACTGTTCTGGCCAAAGGGAATTGAAGAATTTTTTCCTTCTTACTGTCTTATAACAAACATTGTCAGATTTTTTTTTTTTTAAAAAAGCAAAATATAACAGAACGGTAGTTGAGAAGACTATTTTTATATGAATGGTATAAACCACGGCCCAGTTAAAATAACACTTAATACAGATTCGCTTTAATAGATGATGTCAACTTTTAAACATAAGTACTTCTCAAATTGCTTCTGGGTGGCCTAGACCCATTTCTCCTCAACATAACTTCATTTTTCTTCTCTAGAGTTTCCTTTACTTAAAGTAATGGCTTGAGGAAGATCAGGAGACTTAGTGGCTCTGTGCTATTTTTTCAATGTTGGGCAAAGTTGGGCTGGTTGATAACGTCACTCATTAAGATGAGCTGTGTTTTCAGAGCCCTGGGCTGGCCCAGCAGCTCCAGAGACCTTGGTTTCTTTTGTAGCTAAAGACAGAGTCCATGCTTCCACCAGCCCATTGCAGTGGCTGAAAAAGTCCAGGAAATAGGTTGCATTGAATGCTACTCTTCAGAAGAGATTTGCATTCAATGCTCCTGTTACAGGTAAAGTATTTCCTTGAGCAAAAAATCTCATTTACTCAGTGTTTAGAGGAAACACTGAATTTCATAGCCATAGTGCCTTTCCCTGTGGAAAAGATTTTAAATCTGTATGTTCACTACCTTCACTCCTTTTTCTTAGAGTCACGCATGCTCTGCAACTTAAACTTACATCCATTTAAAATCAGAGAAAAAATTCAAGAGGATTAAGCAAGCACAAAGTAATATAAAAACAAAAACAGTTTCGCCATTAAATTTTCTCCTGGGTAACTTAACAAATATTTATTGTTTCCATTCTGTTTCAACACTGCAGAAAAATATACTTCAATGGTGAAGCAATGTGCACATGAGTGACAGAACATGGAAACCATAAATTACAAATATAAATCAAACTTTAAAATCCTAGTAACACCACAACAGCTTCTTTCCTTCTTCTGTTCACGTCCATTCCGCAGGAGTTCACAGTTTGGTTCCAGCGAGCCATGCGCCGTAAGCCCTGATCCCAAAGACCCTGTTTGTGGGGGGCAAACAGAGCCTGCTGCCAGCGTCTTCTGGTGGCAAGCCTGTGAAAATCCCTGGAAGACCAGTAAATCATATTCTGATGATTCATTTTCTGGATTCAGGAGACCATGGACTAGAAAAGGGTAAAAACAGGGCATGCTTTTTCTTTTTTTTTTTTCTTTTTTGAGGTTTCTCAGACTGGGAAGTAAAAAAATAGGTGTTTTCCTTCGGGGTTTTTTTGTGGCTGAGAATGGTGAAGTTGGCATTTCCGAGAGAGCTTTCTTTCTTGGCTCAGTCTTTAAGGGACTGGTAGGCTTTGGAAGTCCGGCTGTTGACAAAGTCCGTCTTCTTGAACTGAGCCTACGGAGTAAGCAACATAAACGTGAATGGCAACGACATTTCCACACACAAAACTGCAGCTCTTAGCAATTTCCCACCATACCCAGCCACGCGGGGCTGGGCATCAGGACCAGGCTGTGTTAATTAGGACGCCCGCCTTTTGGGCGCTCTTACCTTCTTGTAGGCGTTGTGGAGCTCCGTGTGCGTCCACAGAGAATATAAGAGAACAGAAGCAGCTTTGCTTGCTTTGTTGGAGGCATAGCTGAAAGAAAGGGACATCCCGAGATCGGTGAGAATGCCTAAGGCTCCTGGAGGAGGTGACTGCTGGTCTGTAAATCTCTAAGCTCTGTTACTCAGTAGCCATCCATTAAGTAGGGCTACTCCAATGACAAGGGAATTAAATGGTAAGCTTTGTAGGCCAGGGACCACTTCTTAGAAATTATTTTGGATAGGTCTTTTAAAACCTCTAACACAGAGCTAACATAGTTTATAGAGCAAACTTTTTTTTAAATCCTCACCCAAAGGTATTTTCTCCATTGCTTTTCAGAGAGAGTGGAAGGAGAGAGGACAGAGAGAGAGAGAGAGAGAGAGAGAGAGAGAGAAACATCAGTGTGAGAGACACATGGATTGGCTGCCTCCCACACGTGCCTCGACCAGGGCCAGGGATCGAGCCTGCAACTGAGGAACGTACCCTTGTCCGGAATTGAACCTGGGACCCTTCTGTCCATGGGGCTGATGCTCTAACCACTGAGCAAACTGGCTAGGACTATAGAGCAAATTCTTTATATTTACAAGGAATATGTTACAAATCCTTGAATTTATAGAATACAACTTATATTTGTATATTTACATTATTTATAGAATGTATTTGTATGTTTATAATGTGTGTGCATATATACTGTATTATATATGTGTGTGTGTGTGTGTGTGTGTGTGTGTGTGTATATATATATATGTATATTATAGTGCAAATTCAGGGAAGTATGATTGAAAAATATATATCCCTCTCTTAGAGTGAGTGACCCTATAAAGGTAGGAGTAATTTTTTCAAGTTAATAAAATAAATTCTTGTTGGAACATTTGTTAAAATAGCTTCAAAGTGTCTTTGTTCTTGTGCAGAGCAAATGTAAAATGTGTTCCTGTTTTAAATCCAAGCTCCCACTGAATTTGACACTGTATTTAGTTTTTGATGTTCTGCTTTTAAATTTGTCCTAAATTTCCTGTTTCTGGCAGGGAGAAAATACTTCCTTTGATCTCTTTCTCTTATATCACCTGAATGACCATGTGGCTGTATTTTTTCTTTTAATGAAGAAATGTATCTTTCATTTTTCCTATCACAGGAGTTTGTAAACCTGCAACCAAGGAGAGACAATGCAAAGCTTTATGGAGAATCGCATGTTGGGTTCATCACTCATCAACCTGGCAGAGGGTGAGACAAATCAGTGCCCTACAGATTTTTTTAGTTACCTCGTGGACGTCTCCGAGTAGATCCTTTATAACCAAGATAACTAATCCATGAAAGCTATGGTTCTCTAATATTTAAAATTGGAAAAGTTCAACAGTAACTGAAGGAGAACAGGCTACGCCACCCCAAAACATTGCCTCTCTGGCATCAGGATTATTTTAGGCTGATTATTTTTAAGAGACGGTAGACATAGGGAAAGCTCTGAAAAGTGAGTGGAAGTGACCCTTTGGTAAGAGACATTTATAAGGGAAATCTCCATTTGTAAGCAGGGTCTCCCTCTCTGTACAGGAAAGTGAACAATGAATAAATCTTTAGAAACTTTTATCAATGGAGAAGGCGAGGAATTAAATCTGCATAACAACCTTTGTTTACTGTGCTTTTCCTGGGAATCCCCCTAAACTGACCTCCCCTCAGCCCAAACATCTTTTGTCTTTAGCTGGAGGTGTTATTTAAAGGGGTAGCTTGGGCCATTTAGAAGAGTTATGCAGTTTTCCTGGGTCTCTCCCATGTATACTGGAGATCTTCATGTTATAAAGCTTCTGTTTGTTTTGTTAACCTGTCATTTTTATTGCAGGAGTGTCTCAGCTAAAAACTTAGAAGGGTGTTATATTTAAAAAGTTTATTTATAAGTTGGTTGTTAGCACTCGGGAATTCGTGTATTCAAAGACAAAATGCTGTAAATGATAACTGGTCCCCAGGCTAGCCCATGTGAAAGGATTTCAACCTCGAATGAAGTCAGAGGATAAGAAATAGAGAATGTCATGTATGCCCCCTCAGAAGAACAGAATTTATGACCTGAGAGGCCAATTCTCTGTAAATGTTTGATTAAAGAAGACCCAGACTCCCTGGGACCTTGCTGCAGCATGGGTTACCAGAACTGCAATTTCTCTGCTATTCATGAAAGAACTCAAATTCTGGTTAATTTGAGCTTGCCTCTGTTAACGTCTTCATTTAGGTTGACAACCATAAATTATAGGTCGGCTATACAGCACTCTAGCAAGGAGCATCAGGCACAGCCCATAGACATTTTTGACATTTTTCTGTTTTTGTTTTTAAACTGGGCATGTGATGGCTGGCTCACAAATGAACACTCAGGGCAACAAATTGTCACAGAGTAGTATATCCGTATGTTGCTAAACTACAGAAGTTTCCAAAAGTGATGGTGTTAGCATAGGTAGTTAACTAGCTGTTAATAGAGAGACGGGGCAAAGGGAATCAGACATTGAGCTTAATAAACCAGGGAGCTGAATCAGTATTAAACTTAAACTGGGGAGCTGAGTCAGATAAGGGCCTGCTTCACTAGGAAGTTTCAGCATTCCACTAAGCTTTACTTACTAGGAAGCCACAGCATTTGCAGACTCATTTACACACTGCAGGGGACTGCAGAGGAAAATCTCCCAGGGGTGCTGCCCGCCTGTACTGGACTATTGGATTATCTGGCTTACTGGAGGGAGGCGGGAGGGAAATTCCTCTGCTGGGCACATGCCAGCAGAAACCAGATGATGCACAGAACTTTTGGACACGGGCCATAGAAGTCCGCATGGCACAGGGGGGAGGTGCTTCTATTTTGAGGCATGTGCAGTAAAGGAAAATGGGGACAAAGGGGCAGGACCTACCCTGGGAAAAGAATCAGATTGAATAGGGGGCACAAAACCCCACAGGTCCAGGAAAGGGACTGGTTACGGGGAGGGCCCAACGCCAACAGGGAGAAATCGGGAAGTGGGTTGGATGGTTTCAATGACACCTTGGTCCTTACAGAGAGCCAAGAAAATATATGGAGGGTTATCAGAAGTTTCAAGGAAGCTGCTACTTGAGCCTGCCTGTCCTCTACATCCTCGAGGGTGTATTATTTCCCTTCACCCCAATAAAAATCTTACCACTACATTTAAACTTCTCCATGCATGAGCCCTTTGAAATTCCTTTCTCGAGACACTGCCAAAGAGCCCACTTTCACCAGCAACAATAGTGTATTCCAATGTGCTTGTTATGTCTGAATACTCAAATAATTAAAATCAGATGATCTTATGGAGATTTGCTTAGAAGTCTGGATGACTACTCCAAACAGTCATTTCTGTGTTGCGGCAATAATTTATTGTTTCCACAAAGACAGAGCAACTGCTATCTGCCAGGCTCTGGGGACAGGTGAATATTCCTTGCTCTTGGGGAACTGACCTAACCAGTGCTCCCTTTCGTCCTGTGACTCTGAATGGGGCCTTCCCTTCCGTGAGTTTTATCAGAGGGGGGCTGTAGAGCACAGGGGTTTACCCTGGGTGGGGCTGCGGTAGAGGCCATGTGTGATCATCCCAGGATACCACAGACCCCTGTGCTCACCCCTGTGTGGCCAGGCACATGTCTGTCCATCACAGGTGAAGTCTGTTTGCTTTGCAACTCATTAGAACTGGGCTATAATATGTCTTTCTTTTTTGTTAATTTATAAAAGTAACTTTTATTTAACAAGTCAAACAATTCAGAATTGTATAGAGAGAAAAGTAATAATCTTCATGCCTCTTTCAGACCCCATCACTCTAAATTAAGTAATAGTAATTATTTGGTTACACAAGGTTTTTCATGCTCTTCCTCCCTTGTAATTTTTTTTATTATTATTTTTAATCCTCACCTGAGGATATGTTTTTGATTTTTTTAGAGAGGAAGGGAGAAAGAGAGAGAAACATCCATGTGAGAGAGAAACATCGATCGGCTGCCTCCCAAATGTGCCCTGACAAGGGATCAAACCCACAACTGAGGTACATGCCGTGACTGAGAATCGAACCCGCAGCCTTTTGGTGCATGGGACGATGCTACCAACAACCAAGCCACCCAGCCGGGGCTCTTCCTCCTTTTAAATGAGGGAAATTCAAAGACAGAATCCAGGATGTGGGATGACTGATGTACAAGGTGTGTCCATTAGACTCCCTGTTCTCAAAAGGGAACAAGGTGTGGAAAGAGATGTGACCGAGAAAACTGAGAAAGCAAGAATCGATTATGCTGCCTCCCACCTCTTGTGTTATCACTGCTTCTTAGCCACCTGGGCCAGCCCTGGCTCCACAGATGTAAGTGAGGAAAAGGGTATTCCCTGTCCAGAGGACTCCCTCTCCCCTACATCCTGCTGTTCTTAAATCACAGTTGTAGTTCTGGGAAACAAATTAACTCATTAGGTCAATAAAATGCTGGAAGCTATGGAGTTTGACTATCTCTGAATACTGCCCATGGTCCTCAGTGGCAATGTTTACAACTAGGTTTACAGATGGGAGTGGTGGTGGGGAAGGGGAGCCAGCCGATGGGCAGATGCTGAAGGACTTACTTGTCGCCTGCACTGATAGTCATAATTTTCTGCAGGCCTCCGGTGTTTAGAAGATCCCGGGCATTCTGGTAACTATTCTGGATTATGTTGTTCAACGTGTAACAGGCAGAGGCTGTAGTTTCAATGAGAAGATCAGTACTTGGAACTGTGTCAGGAATTATGGAAACCAAATCAGGTAGAGTTTCTTTGGCTAGAAAATGAAAGAAAAAGAACACTTGATTAAAAAGACTATTTCTTAATAGCAAAATCCCTATATGTTTTGGTTAAAGAACATTTTAAAAAGGAAACACAAGTGGTTAATAAGCATATAGAAAGATGTAGCCTCTCTAATACTTGTTTCTTTTTTTTTAATCCACACCCAAGGATATGTTTTTATTGATTTAGAGAGGGAGAAGCAGGGGGGAAAGAGAGAAACATCAATGTGAGAGAAATATCAATCATTTGCCTCCTGACCGGGAATCAAACCCAAAACCAACTGAGTCATTCTGGCCAGAGTTCTAATACTCGAATTTTAAAAGGATTTTTAAAAAGATGATGCTCTGCTCAATACACTGGTAATCTTTTCAGAAAGCAATTTGATAGAAATATCAAGAATTTAAAAAATTTTCACATTCTTTGATTTGGTAATTATACTCCTGGGAATTCATCCTAAGGACATCACTTTAAAAATGTTAAAAGCTTTACGCAGAGATCTTTATTATAGTATTATATAGAACTGAAAACTTATAATAAGCCTAAATATCCCAATAATAGAATATAATTAAATAAAATACATCTGCAAAGAATTTTATGCATCACAAAACATATCCATGAGGCATGCAAATAACGGAAATATTTATATTAATATTCTATGTGAAAAATCTGTATGCTTATTTATATAAAGAATATGTAATATAACATTAGGAAAGAAAATACACATAAGCAACATTGGAAGAAATACATGAAAATATTAAGTTGTTTTTCTATAACAGTATTGACAGTGACCTAAACATATTTTTTAAAAAATTATCTGTACTGCCCAGAGTTTCTTTAATGCACAAATAATATTATTTAAAAAAAGGACAGATTATTTTAAATTTATTTTTTTACTAAGTACGTAAGTTCTTGGTAACGGTTTTAGTTTGGCTTCTTTTGTAGTAACAAGAGAGGTATTAATAGTTGACGATTTCATCATAACTTGCCTTATGCGATATGTTTTGAGCAGTATGAATTTGTACTTGATTTTTTACAATAATTCTTTTCACATGTTTTCTTCTTTTTCTCTAACTACTTTGGACTCTCTTTAGTAGACACGGAGCATGTTTCTCTTGCTTTTGTTGCTCCTCACAGCTCTTTAATACAGTGTTGTGTTTATTGTAATTGTACAACAAATACTTCTGTTTAATTTTATTATTTTTTCATGAGTTTATGTGGTGCCTGGAACTGTACTTCCCTCTGTATGATTCTGCATTGTGACTGGTTATGCGACTATCTGAACTCCAAATGTGGCTACGGGTCCACTGAAGGTAATTATCATGTTCATTTCCAGACTTTCAGCACTGACCACCATGCCTATAGCAGAGAGGTCCTCAAAAAAAGGGACAGAGCAGCATGTAAGCCTTTGATAAGTCCTGGACCCGATGGACAGGAAAGACAGCTTCTGCTCAAAGGCCGGAACACTTTCTTCTTGACTGTGTTTAGGCATCACAACAGAGTGTTAAGAGCTTAGATCTCAACCTCTGAAGCCACACTTCTTTAGTTTAGATCTCAATCTCTGAAGCCATACTTCTTTAGTTTTGGTCTTGTCTCTGCCACTTAATGGCTGTGTGGTCTTGGCAAGCTACTTAACCTCTCGATGCCTGATTTTTTCTAATTTGTAACATGGGACAACAATAGTTATCTACTCCACAGGGTTGTTTTGAGGGATTAAATGACTTAATATGTGTCACTGTATCATAGTACTCTGTGCATAGTAAGGTCTCAATAGAGATGAAGTATTATCAGAAGGCTTCCTCTTTTTAACAAGTTAAACCACAGAAGTAAAGGCCTTGAGAACATAAATTTTCCTTTCACTGAATTTAGGTTGAAAACATAAAAACAAGTCTGTGACAATCACAACCAATCAATCTCTTTGCAGGGTGCAGTAATGGCTGCTGAGCCCGGGCTGCCCACACTGAGAACAATTACTGATGAGAGAGAGCCCCACCTCTCCCCGCTCATCACCTCCAGCAAGAATGTCCACTTCTGTACATCAATTTTAAGGTTGAAATGTAGGGTGATGTCTCAGGAGGAGTGAGAATCAGAGAAGACAGTCTTTAACGTTTTGTATCACATTTGTTTTTCTTAGAAAAGCAGTATAACTGTTAATACATCGACAAACCTTAACACTTCAATGTAGAAAGGCAGGATCTCTCGGTATTTCTCTTTCTCTCCCTCTCTCTGTGTGTGTATGTATACACACATAAACAAGGTGGGGCAAATGCAGATTTGCAGTTGTATGTGAAAGTTTATTCTTATGTTATAATTTATTAATTACTGTATCATTTTCCATATGAACAACTATAAACCTGCTTTTGCCCCACCCTGTACACACACACACACACACACACACACACACACACAGGGCCTCCATAAATACATTCACTTTGGGATAATTAAAATTGGATCTTTAATACCAAAATATAAAATTAAAGGCCTTATCGTGATATAGGAAGGTTATAGCTCAATGTCATATTGCTGAGAGAGATTTCATTTAATGGCTAAAACTCAATGCCTTAAAAAGCCAATACACTAGTTGGATGTTTGAAGACATCTGTAACAATGAATGAATGGGAATTGAGACTCTAGAAATGTATCCCGATACTTCCTGTTGCTTGCACATACCACACATTATGCTCCCTGACCCTGGGAAAACACTTAAGAACTGATTATCAGTCTCCCCCGTCTGGAGCAGTTAAATGATGAGCCCCAGTGACCTGGTGGCAGAGGAGCATTGTAGGATGCAGATCCGTGTCCTCCACAGGAGGTCTATGACTGTCACTGTACTAAGTTGCCTATCTTCACATTTTTAAGAAGATATAAGTTTTAAATTTATTTCTGTAAATCTCAGTAAAATGTGATGATTGTATTCCAGGTCAGCACATGGGAAGTTTTACCTGGCCTAGAAATCTCTCATGAGAAACACAAAACGTGCATTTCAAACTGGTTTTCATTTATTCCTGGCTATTAATACTCTGAACCAAGATGGGTCCTTTTACTCAAATTATATATTTGATCTAAAGCCAATTTAAAATTTAGAAACTCTATTTATCTTGCTGAAGCCTCGTCTCACTGTTGCCCTGAAAATGAGGGGCGTTTATTGTGAAGTCATCTTCCATAAACTGTGGCTCTACAGCTTCATCTCCCCAGCAGCTGAGGACTGAAGCCCGGGAGGCACATGCATAATGTGTGGAGGGCGGTTATTCTCATCGGCAGGGTTTTAAAGACAGAGTCAACATTTTATTTGGGAAAAGAAAAAGAAGTCAAAGGGTAATACACCCGATTGAAGTGGAGCACAAAAGTCCTCAGAAGACAATGGGGAGAACGCTTCCATAATTCTGAGAGTGCCGAGGGCAAGGTTTCCTTTAGATCCGCTGAAAAATTTCCAGGCCCTCTTTATACTCATAATGGGCATGAAACCACCTGTCCAGTGTTGCGCTGCCTGCTGTCTTTGGAAATGACATTATTAAAACATAACCACAGACTTCAATACCTCTCATGCTGTGTGTGTGTGTAATTTCAGAATAATCCAATCCATTTAAAAAAACTCACAAAAATGTATTTATAATTTTAGTGAAATGACTAATTTATGGAGCATTAGGAAGCATAAACAATTCTAACATTATTGTCTCATTTTATAGTTTTTGACTTGATTCTGTTGTCAGATATTTCTAGGTATAAAGCAAATAAATGAAGAATTGTTACATGATAGTGTAACACAGTTATTATCTTTGTCAATAATACAGACTCAAAAAAAGGAGCAAATAGCTTTCATTGTATTTGTTCTAAAACCATCTGCGATGAATTGGCACTTTTGTCTTTTTTATTTTAATGAATACCTGTTCATCCAGAAGAGTGGTGCTCACATAGGCCTCACAGAGAACACTCTGCAAGACAGCAACACGAATTAAAAAGACTTCATTGGATGGCACAGCCAAGGGCTGAAAAATATCAACTATATTACTTATCTTGTTAATTATTAGTATGGCCTAGAATTTCTCTTCTGCAGTAATTTAAAAAAATGTTGGATATGAAGAAAAGTCCTATTTGAGACCCTGTGAGAAAGCCTACCCTTGATGCCTAGGTGCACAAGAGTCAGGTCTAGTCATCACATTTTGCTTTTTATTTACATTTTCAGCCCATCATTATAAAAAGAATGTGATAAGGACAATGCTTTATTGCATTTGTATTTCTAACACAGTCACATTACATCTAGATACTCTTACTGACTCACCAATTTCACTGCACAGGGAAAGATTCCGTGATAAATTCCTCAGCAGGGAGACTGCAGTCTTTTTCACACTCGGATCCCCCACATGCAGCATCTTCCGGGTGTGCTGGAGGCCGTTTTCCTTCTGCACCACTGTCTGCGCCACTGACATCGGCATCTGTTTTGTAGGACACATCCTGTAAATACTGTTGCACTTGACTTCACAGTAATAGTAAGTTTCTGTAGATTACTAGAGATTGAGCAAGATGTTTTAAAAACTAGAGCTGTGACGATATCAGCCTAAGACAGTATCTTTAAATTCTTATTAGGTTTTCGATTGAATTACTGAATAAAAAAATTCATGTTTATGCAGTATTTTTAAATACATTATTGGATTTGGTTAGCTACTATATTTTTTGCATGTTTATAAATAAAATGGGCCTGTCTTTTCCTTTCCTTTCTATTGATCAGTCTGCCCTTTATTCACATTTTCAGTTCATCATCGCACAAAAAACATGATAAAGACGATGTTTTGGAATCAGAGTTGTAGAATCAGCCTGGCCGGCGTGGCTCAGTGGTTGAGCATTGACCCAAGAACCAGGAGGTCACGGTTCGATTCCTGGTCAGGGCACATGCCTGGGTTGCCGGCTCAATCCCCAGCAGGGGGCGTGCAGGAGGCAGCTGATCAATGACTCTCATCATTGATGTTTCTATCTCTCTCTCTCCCTCTCCCTTCCTCTCTCTGAAATCAATAAAAAAAAATAATTTTTTAAAAGTTGTAGAATCAAAGTTACACTGTATTTACTGGTGGTTGGCATATTCATCTTTTCTGTTTCTTCTTGTTCAAATTTTGGCATTTTACATATTTTAATAAACTTATTCATTTCTAAAAAAGCCGTTTTTTTCCTAAAAGAGACACTGGGCTTTTAAATAGAAACATATTGCTACTCAGGCTATCTGAAAGTCTATGCTCTGCCAGAGGCATGTGCATATGCAAGTTGCTGGTCCAGGCCCACTAGAGGCAAATCTCATTTGGAATTAGGCTGGTCACCTACTATCAGAGTATCTGAGTTCCGAGTAGGCTCTTCCCAGCATCAGCAGACCTCCAACAATACTGAGGCCTTAGCTTGTGTGCTGGTAACTTTATAGGTTTCTATTTGAAGCTAATTTGAGGCCACCATGCCAGACATTTCTGTAATTCGTGACCATTCTTCAGGGTGTGATCTTCTCTGTTTATCTTAACAAACACTGCTTGTTTGCCCCTACCTCCTATGGATGGCTGCCCTTACGTTCTCCACTGTGCCTGTTAGAAGAGGGACTCTTAATATAGGGTCCAATATAGGTTTTGGGGAGGGGACAGGAGGTCCCTAAAACTACTTGTGTTTATAATAAACTTTCTCAGGGAAAGGGTCCATAACTTTTACTAGATACTCAAAGTCTCTGTGACTCAAAACAGTTCAGAATGTCTGTTTTATTGTAAACAAGTTATACCTGTCTTTCACTAATTGTTAAAACATTCCATTAGACTACTTGCTCTCCTCTGAGAAGAATCCTTCCCCTGTAGCCATCTAGAGAGGAGGCTATTTATTCTGTACCACGCCTGTGTCTTGGGCACTGAGGTAAGCTTAGCATTCCTCTCTCTTCCCTTCATCTAGATAGTTGTCTTCCCTCACAGGCAAAACTCTGCTCTTCTGAGTCACTGCCATCCAGCCCTGTCACCCTCATAACATTTTCTTTGTCATCTGAAGACCGATTGGTCCTTTCCCAACACCCACAGGGGGCTGCAGAGCCTGGCTCAGAGCCTCCTGCACCTCCTGTCCACTGTCAATGGCTCCATCGATTACCTCCTAGCTCCTGGACGTCCTAAAAGTCACTGACCTTCATCTCTTCCGTACACGAGCCGGTCACTATCATGGTCACACAGAATCTGTATTCGCCCAGATACAGCTTGACTTTGGAAACGTCAGCTCCAGACAATGTCCTGTTCTCCCTGCTCTTTTCCCCTCTCTACCATACTTTCCTTCAGCCTCATCAAGAACTGCTGCCCCTTCACCTCAACTGCTGCCCCCCACCTCACATCATCAATTCTCTCCTGCCCTAAAGCTCTCTTATTTAGATTAGGGAACATAAACCATCACAGCAAATGCTATCTTTCTCCTTTTTACAGTTCTAGCTTTTCCCCACCCACCCACTGAAATTGCGAAACTGATTTTCTCTTTCAGCCATACAGAATATGTGAGAATGACTGTTGATTAGTTGGTCAGCCGTTTGCAAATGGCACTTCTGGTTTCTACTGTCCTGATTACAACGAGGTTTTCAAATGAGTACTAGCTATTTCTACATTATTTTTGTGAAGTTCCTGCTAAGTCTCTTGTCCCTGTTTCTACTGGGTTGTCTATCATTTTATTGTTAACTTGATGAGTTTAATATTTTCTAGATACCACCCTTCTTCACTTATGTATGTTACAAAAACATTTTCCTACTCTGTGGTTTGCCTTTTTTCTGTCTTAACAATGACTTTTGATTGCATAATAGCATGAGTTACTAATTTTAATGTAGTCCACTTATAAAATAATTATTTTATTATTAGTGCTTTTTGTGTCCACTTTTAAGAAATCTTTCCCTATTCCAGGTCATGGAGACATTTTTCCATGTTACCATTTAGAAGCTTTACTGTTTTACCTTCTGCATTTAAATGCTGTTGGAACTGATTTTCAGGTAAAGTGTGACAGTTTTGGCCCGGCTGGGCGTGGCTCAGCGGTAGAGCATTAACCTGGGATCCAGGCGATCGGGGTTCGATTCCTGGTCAAGGCACATGCCCGGGTTGCGGGCTAGCTGGTCAATGACTCTCTCATCATTGATGTTTCTATCTCTCCCTCTCCTTTCCTCTCTCTGAAATCAATAAAGATATATTAAAAAAAAAAAGTGTGACATTTTTGGGTAGGGGATACGTTTTATTTTTTCCAACAGCTATCAAATTAAGTGGTATTAGAGTGTTTTAGAAACTTGGAAATTGTTTATTTCAATGACTTTTAACTTTTATGAAGCAATGTTTAATCTATGCTTATTTACTTTATTGAGATATAACTGACATATAACATTGTATTAGTTTTTCGTGTACAATGTAATGATTGGATATATGTATTTATTATGAAATTATTATCACAATAAACTTAGTTAACATCCATCACCACACAGTTACAAAATTTTTTTTCCTTCTTGTGATGAGAACTTTTAAGATGTACTCTCTTAGCAACTTCTAAATATACAATACGGTATTATTAACTATAGACATCATGCTGTACATTATATCCCCATGACTTAAATTCATCTTATAACTGAAAGCTTGTAACTTAATTTTTAAACTTATATTACACTTTTTTTTTTTAAAAAATATATCTTTATTGATTTCAGAGAGAGGAAAGGAGAGGGAGAGAGAAAGATAGAAACATCAATGATGAGGGAGTCATTGATTGAGCCCACAACCCAGGCATATGCCCTAACCGGGAATCAAACCCCGATTGCCTGGATCCTAGGTCGATGCTCAACAGCTGAGCCATGCCCGGTTGGGCTCAATGATTCCTTTTAGAAATTAAAAAAACAAGTATTTTTTAAATCACACAATTTAAGCATAACAAAATTAGGAAAATAATCAGAAAAGATATTCATAGAAGTCAAAATTTTAATAAAAAGCATCTCATAACTTACAAGAACAAAGAGTCCTTATAATAGTGCCTGATGGTGCTAATAATTTCTCCTATAAATCTCCAGGCAAGTTCAACTCTAACAACCGTATGGATTAATACCAGTTCAGTGCAGGCCTCCTTTCAGGGCACTGGACTGGTCTAAGGTTAGGTATAATTTTAAATGCCTTGACACAATTAGGGCAGTTATGAAGATATCTCTGTTGCTTGGATTCCGTGAGAGATCTTGGAATGCAACAGGCTAAAATTCAAATTTAAAGGGTTGGCTCATAGTGAGCCATACTCAGAGCATAACAAGCTTAATTAAACACACACACACACACACACACAACGCAATTTAATTTCTGACATTTTCTTGTAAGTTGGCTGGTAGTTAATAAGAGGGCTTCCACGGTTTGGGAAAGTGGTGGAAATGGTTTTGGGAAACTTAGCATGGGAAAATGAGAAGGTAAGATGATAATGTCCCTGAGTCATTCAGGTCTCTGGTAGTTTACCATTTCTGTTTGGGCATAAGTACATTTTGCAAAAAATCTAACAGACTGAAAGTCTGTTCATAATCTTAACCACAGTGCTAAGATAAAGGTTGGTTTTAATTCTGCACAATTTTATTCAGAACAGAGCAAACTTCTGTGTAAACACATTAAAGAAAGAACCCAGTTTCTCAAATAAAGAATAAATAATATTTTTGTTATCTATAAGAGTGCTTTTCCCTAAGAGGATGGCCACTTGGAGCCTGGCCACACAATGAACTATTTTGGGGGTTTGTGCTAATCATTTTATGACCAAGGTAAATAATTTTAGCTCAAATAGTTATTTATAGAATCCCTAACTATGTGTGGCAAGGTGCTAAATACATGGGGAAGGGAATAAGCTTTTACGGTTTTATGTATTTTGACTTTGTTCCTATAAAGTAAGTGAGGAGTAGATCTTTATTGTGTAGTTGAAGTTCTTGGACACAAAAGCACAGGTGTCATTTCCAACTCCATACTGCAGTGGACATCTGCTGTGTTTGCCTGCCCAACATTCATTACTCCTTTTGGTAATAACACTCTGATTTTCCATTAAGGTGCTACCAGTGTTTTACCATTTCAGTGGTACAAGCTGGCAGTGACCCTCTCCTGCTCAAACCCATGCCTCTGAAATTCACATGTGGGCACATTACCCAGATCTGGCCAATCAGAACATCACAGGCTCCTGGCCACAGGTATCAGTTCAGCAATGGGTAAGGGAGACTAATTCTCTGAGTTCTTAATGGAACTACTGGGCAAAAGTAATTTGTTTCCTTATGGGGACATTGGTGTGGATAAAATGTCAGCCTGAAATCATTAGTGGCTACCTTTGCTACAACAGAGCTGTTAAGAATGAAACCAATAGCCCTGGCCAGTGTGGCTCAGTTGCCTGGGCATCGTCCCTGGCACTGAAAAGCTGACAGTTCAATGCCCACTCAGGGCATTGAACTGTCAATGCCCTGGGTTAGGGTGCTTGATCCCCAATGGGGGGCATGCTGGAGGCAGTCAGCCGATTGATGTTTCACTATCACATCAATGTTTCTCTCTCTCTCAAAATCAATATAAAATCTTTAAGGGAAAAAAAAAAGAATGAAACCAACAGAGGAAAACAGATCAGCAGTCATAATTCCAATGGCTGGGGTACCTACATCCCACCATGACGGAAGGAAGACTCACCTGGACTTTTCAGTTATGTAAGCCAAGAAATTCTTTCCTTCTTTCCTTCCTCCCTCCCTCCCTTCTTTTCCTTAAGCCAGTGTAGGTAGGATTCTGAGACTTCCAACTGAAAGAGCTCTGGCTAGTATTAGTATCTATGAGTCTTTCCCTCGCAGTGACCTGGCTTGGCAGAAGCTGAGGTGGGAAGTTCTGGAACCCTAAAAGTCTTTGACAATTCCTGAGAACTGACTTAAATAAAGGGAGAAAAACTTTTGTTCTTACCTCACTGCCTCATCTCTAAACCGACTGCAGGTCCATCTACAATGTCATTAACTTTCAAAAGGAGGAAAACAGGCATGATACTCACTGGTCCAGTTCCTGCTGTGAGATTCTGGAGCGCTCCCAAAGATGCCTCCTGGGTGTAGCTTCGGACACTCTTGGCGATCAAAGACAAATACATCCGGATCACGATGGAGTGCCACAGCCACTCCACACCCTTGGGGTTGCTCTTTTCCTCGGGCATGGGCATGTCCTGGTACTGCTAACCACACACAGGATGAAATCTAGAATTAATGTCTGCAAGTGATTTCTGTAACTACGCACCCAAACCAAGAGACTAGAAATAGCCTAGAGAGAATCATAATTTGTATAGTAAGAAGCCCCTGAAACAGAAATGAAAAAGCAGATATGTCCATTTTCCAATGACTTAACTTTTAGCCCACGATGATGATTTCTGCCTAGCAACATCCCATACCCCCAACCTTCCATTTCACAGTGCGAAAGAACCCAGAGAATAAAGCATAGGCTGTCCTAGAATAGTTTTCAGGCTGCTGTTAAATGAAAAGCTAAATTAGGCACAAACACCCTGAAGATAAGAAAAACAGGCCTCTTTCCTCAGAGTCTGGTAAAGCGGTCTGGGATCACATCAGGATTCTAAATTTACCAGCCCTTCTCCAAGTTCACAAACACCACGCCACTCCGAGGAGCAGGAGAGGTCACATTCTTTCAGTTTCTGTGAAATGACAGTATGGGAGGTATTCCTTCCTATGGGTTTGCTTTTAGGATGCCCAACGTTTTTTGTCATTTTTTTTTAAGAATGTCCAAATCTCAATATCAGGGCTGTTTTTAAATGTTAAAACAATTTATATACCGCTAGCCATGTTGCTTTAAGCCTATTTCCTAAGCTGCAGGGCATAGGGCAGTATTATTTTAAGGGCCAACAATGCAAATCTGGAGCTGGATTGCCTGGAATTGAATCCCATGCCCTCTATTAATTTGCTGAATTATTCTGGGAAAACGATTTAACCTTTCGGTACCTCTGTTTCCTCTTAAGTAAATGAGGGTATTAATCATCTACACCTTGTAGGGTTGATGTAAGGATTAAAAGAACTCAAAATAATGCTTGACATACGGGGTGGGCAAAAGTAGGTCTGTAGTTGTTCGTGTGGAAAATAATACAATAATTAATAAATAATAATACAAGAATAAACCCTGTTTCACGTACTCACAGCTGTAACCTACTTTTGCCAACACCAGTATCCTAAGTACTCAGAAATGTACACACACAAACACTTTTTCTTTCAAAGCCCTCCCTATATACCTCTTTTACTTTCCTACTTCGATTGCCGAAACACCCAATACTTTTGTTGTTGTCAGTCTGGATATTCCGGTTTTGAATATAGATACTCTGGGAATATTTCTCTGGGAGCTCTGCCTCCAGCTGGTAGGAGAGGTTATGAAGAATGCACACACAGTTCTCTGTGGCCTGAGGAAACACAAATATTGATCAGATACATACAGACATCCCCTTTCAAGTGTGATGTCACAGGACGTATGAGGCTCTAGATCTTACAAGGTTTACTGGATGCTTGGACTGTAGGGATCCTGGGCGAGTGGAATGAGTGTGGCTAGAAAGGCTAAGGATAGACCATGAATGGTCATGAGCACAATGCTAAGGAACAGAGACTGAATTTCTTAAAACATTGGAGAGCCCTTCTCCTTTACTTATTAAAGAGTGTGTTCAGAATGATTCTGTATTTTAAATGCATAATTTAGTAGTCATGTGGAGTTGGAAAACAGGAGATGCTGTTGGTAGGAACCAATCAGGAGCCGATTGCAATGATCAGTATGAAAGTTGCACAAACTAGGACAGCAGAGGTAGGTAGTATTAGAGAGAAGTGGTAAACCAAAGGGCATTTCACAGGTAGAATGGGCATGGTTTGTTGTTCAGTAAACGTGGGATGTGAGGGGAGGCAGTGCAAGATTATTCAGATTTCTATTTTTATTTGGTGGACGGTGGTAATTGTTAAGAAAGATTATACAGAGAAGGAGCAAGTTTGAGGATGAGGGAAGAGATGAATTTGAGTTCACTGCTGAACACAGAGCATGTGGGCTTCTTTCAAATATCTACATAGAGTTGTTAAAGGAATAGCTGGAAATGTGGGTCTGGAAAATAGGAAAAAATGGGGCTTGATAGATTTTAATATTTCTAAGCACATATGGGAAATCTTAAGTTCAGTGCATGAATTAATGAAAAAAGCTCAACCTAAACAGCTACTTCAAGAATACTCTGAAGAGTCTTAGTCAGACAACATAATTCAGTATGTAAGATATTTAACTCTTGCCTCACCTTGTCATCTGGCTGGTAATCTGCAATGGTCCCTCTGACATAATGGACCAATGAGTCAATCAGTCCATCACACCTTCTCATCACTTTCCTCCCATCAGGGCCAGCTGAACTCATGTTTCTATCAGGAAAAACACACAAACAAAAACTGTAAGGCTTAGGCCATGTATCCAACAGGTCTCTGTTTCAAAGCTTTACCTGATGCTTCTTCCAAGGGTTTGGAAAACTGACAAGTTTGTCAAAGTGTGACAGACTTTTCCTGCGGTCTCTATCAATTGCTCAATGGTCATTAAATCTGGACACAACTTCTAAGTATATTCATATAACACATTACCGTCAATAAGTGTCTTCTGTCTACTTCATTCAAAGCACCAAGGTCATAGCACTATTTACTTAACCTTCACCCAATTTTTGAGAGGGTATACATATGAGGCAAAGACTTTGCAACTAAAAGAACAAAGGATGCAACAGGCATTGTTTACTAGAGATAGCCAAGTCCCAACTTATTCTGTGACTTAACTCTAAGGTACAGAAAGTCACTTAAATTCATTGGGCCTCACAGTTTCCTCATTTATAAAGATAGGGTGCTGAACTCTATTATTTGGGGGGTTTTTGTAGGTTTCAGTATAAACTGTTATCAACAAATATTAAACCAGATACTCTAAAATGTCATGATTTTATAATTAAAATGGCAGAGAGAAGTCAAGGCAAATGCAGGGTTTTACAGTGTTAGACCTAAGTCAAGAACATGACCTATAAATATCTTTGTACTTAGTCTATTTCTAATTTTGCTAAGCCGTGACACCTTTCTATAAACAGTAACTGAATCTACAAGCGGAGGTTGTTTCCTTATAGAGAATTGAAGCTTATCAAATCCAGTCAAGTAATGCATTTGGGGATCATGTTTCAAATTCAGATCATGTTTATATTCAGGTATTATTGTTACCATGTTCCTTTGGATTAAGTTTTTCTTGTTAGCACTAACTATTTGAAAATATTTTTTTCCTAAAAATGTTAGCATCTTTGTCAACAAGAACAGCAAAAGAACAATGCCTTTCACCAACTTCAGTTGTTAAGAACTATTCTTATAAAATTGATCAGATCGGTTTTTACTGATAGGCAGAATACTCAAAGCACATTAAAGACTTATTTATAACGTCGCAGTGCCATTCTGAACATCAAAACAACTACAATTCTAAGAACTTTTTGGGTCTTATTTTCTTCATTTTAAAAATAATATATTGCACTAAGTGATTTCAAACAGACTTTCTGCTCCCTCCCTGGCTGGTGTGGCTCAGTTGGTTGGAGCATCGTCCCATATACCGAAAGGTTGTGTGTTCAATTCCTGGTCGGGGCACCTACGAAAGGCAACCAATCAATGTTCTCTTTCACATCAATGTTTCTCTCTCTTTCTCTCTCCCCCTCCTTCCCTCTCTCTTTTTCTCTCTCTCAAATCAATAAACATATTCTCGGGTAAGGATTAAAAAAAAAAAGACTGTCTGCTCCCAAATACTACATTCAACAGATATTGTCAAAGAACAAATGTGCCCAGCATTGTAGCAAGAACTAAAGGGAACAAGGGAAGAGCACACAACACTGTACTCTGCTCCCATGGACATCACATCTATAGGGTGAAACTGATGATACCTGAGCGTTTTTAAGCCACAAAAATGCAATTTCATGATTCAACCTAATAGTTGAGGAGATAACACTACTATACCTAAAACACGGAAATACTGACAATTTAATGGCTGCTGCATTGATACAACAAATTTTTAATTTTAACAAAATCTTATTTGTGACTTTAGTTCTCATTTGACATGAGAACTAATCTAATTAAAGATCTTTAATCTAATTAAAGATTCACTTCCTTCCTTACTTTTTACTGTACCTGAAAAACTGTGACATTTTGACCATTAAAAAAGATAATGAAGGGTCCATAAACTCAATAAAACCATTTTTACTATAGCTTTTTCTCAAGAACTGACCATTTGAAACAAGGTCCTCTATCTACATGGAAAAACTGAGGTCCAAAGAGTTTAAGTTACTTTTCCTGGTGATAGTAAGTTAAGTGATTTCAAGTCAGGATCGGAGAGCTGTTCTTTATTCTGTGCCCTAGGCTGCTGCTCCAGAGTGGAACAAAGTCCATCCAACATTCATTCAGTCTGCCATTTGTTTAGCAAATACCTTACGACCCCAATTCCAAGACAACGTTATCACGTTTTAAAGCTTCCCTTTGCACTTTTCAACCTCTGGCTTGGGAAAATGGCAGTAGTTTAAGACTGCTTTGACAAATTGAAGGTCTGTCTCTCTCACTAGCTAAACCCACTACATACCTTACAGAAGGATGACTTAGCTTTGCTTAACCTCAGGGTGTTTATTTTGGGTGGGAATGGTAATTCAGTTTGGCAGCACTGACAGTTCACACACACGAACTGTTGTCTGGTAGTTTGGTATTATCCAGACTCTCCTTGCTTGAAATGGGACTTATCAGGGATTCCTGGCAGTTGATACCTTTGCTGACAGAAAGCGCATGGAACCCCACTGCTTCAGTATTTGCTCCTGCATATCAAAAATAGTTCCTACCTTACTCAACCGCCCAGAAATATGAATGATAAGGGCGTATTACTTTATAGCACTGCATCCATGAATACAAGTCACTAGTCAGAAAGGAATTTGTTATTGTACCATCCAATAATTATTAGAAAATAATATATCCATCTTAAAAGTTATTTTTCTCAATGGCTAATACTTTAGTTTGTGGGAATCAGAGAATTAACATGGCTAATCTTAGGCAGAATGATCCTTGTACAATGTATCTCCTTAATCCTGAGAAATATTTACCTGTAACTATTTCCTATGTATAGCCCAATAGAGGTTTAAAATGGCAAAATATCTCAAAACTATAAATAAAATATATTAAAATTATCTTGTTGAAAAGTAAAAGAGAATGAGCATACAGAGTAGTTACTCAATAAAAACTGATTATTAGAGTTACCAATGAATATATGGGAAACCTTTAATTTAGTGTCTATGGTTTGAATTTGATTAAACAATGAGTTTTCTTTGGGTTGGGATAATACAACAGAAGTCTGAGTAAATATGTGGGTACCTCTTAGGAAACTAAAACTGTATACTACTGTATACTAAAGTTTAAATTTAAAAATTAGGTCCTGCCCTGGCCAGTTTGGCTCAGTGGTTAGACCACTGGCCCTTGGACTGAAGGGTTAAGGGGTCCATTCCTGGTCAAGGACACGTATCTCGGTTGCAGGTTCTATCCCCAACCCCAGCCAGGGCACAAGCAGGAGACAACTAATCGCTGTGTCTCTTTCACATTGATGCTTGTTTGTTTCTCTCCCCCGCCACTTCCTCTCTCGAAAAAAAAAAAAAAATCAATGGAAAAAAATATCCTCTGGTGAGGATTTAAATAAATAAGTAAATAAATAAATAAAACCCAGGTCCTTGGACCAGGGCTTGGAGGCTGCCCACCCCTCAGGAGGGGAAGTGGAGCAGGGTTCTGGAGCTCTTTACCTCCACTGGGCCTGAGTGAGAAGATGCCAGCTTGAGCTGTAGTTTGTGTTTGAAATTAAAAGGAATTTTCAGGCAATATGACTTGCAAGGGGTACGAACAGAACTTGAACCCTGTCTGTCTCTGAACAAAACTTCACATGTTTAGGAGAATTCAGGTGTTTCATCTGAAAGCAAATCAGTGACTCATGACTCTTCCTGGGACTACTTATCTCACACATTCCTGAGTGTCACAGTGAAAAGGGGAAAAGAAAACCAAAGACTCAGGACCTCACTGGAATTAAAGGGAAGGTGGTATGCCACTGTTAAGATTAACAGCAGTGTGACTAAACCTTAAATTCATATGGCACACCAAAGAATGGACAATGTCAGATGATAAAAGGAGCTGCCATTCAGTGTGTGTGCTAGACGTTATGGTAGGTACCTTACCAATATCGTGATCTATAACTTGCACAAAATTCCTGAAATGAAGGTTTGCTAAAATTTCATTCAGAATCCTGACCTGTGACTCTTGTTTAAAATCAGAATTACCTGCTTCTAACAGGATTGTTACTGGCCTTTCCATGTAAGGGCTGTGTGCGCGTGGCTACAGGCAGGTGTGCCGTCAGATAGCTAGTTTGCCAGCTCTCAAAGTCCAAGCTCAGTGAATGGTCAGCTGGCCTGGGGAACTGAAGAGCTGATATGAAATATTTAAAGTAAAAGGGCATAATTATTTCCAGGACATGAAAATCACAGGAAAAAACAGGGTTGGAGTGAATTTTTCCAAGACACTTTGCCAACAAAATAAATAATTCTAAGAGGCAGAGATTTTTTTTTTTTTTAATAAGACCATTCTACTTATAATAGGTGCGTTTTCCTACTAATGACTCTTCCTGGGACCATCGTATACAAGATCTGCTGTCTGTGGGGCAAGTCTTAAAGTTCTAACCAGTGCACTGAGACGGTGATCACCTCAACGGTTTTTAAAAATTGTAGGTGCACCTTCCTAATATCATGTGTTGTAAATTGTGCAGTTAAGACCCCAGTAGTACCAGTCAGTTAAGTACTTGCTCAGAGTCCATTCTAAGACCCAGTAGGCACTTGATAAGACACTGGTTGATAAGGAGGCATCCTTCTTCCTCTCGTTATTTGAGATTTAGGTCTGGGCTTTTGTTTAACTCTCAGCTGATACATATCAAACAGTTGGGCCTTGTCTGTGATTACCAGAAAAAGCAGCAGAGGCAGCCTGTGGTTGCACAGAACAAAAGGGGAGCCTCATCTGAACTGGCAGAGCAATAAAAGTCTCTGCCCAAAGAAGGGCTTGTCTGTTATTCTGAAGTCAACATCAGATCCTGAAGGTATCCGCAAACATCAGCCAAAGTCAACTGCTACATCTGCAAACAGAAGCAACATTGGGAGATAGAACAAAGCTCTACCACCTACACATTCTGTTTCTTCCAGGACAAGGAACATTAACTGCACAATGATATGTCAGCATCTATGACACATCAAGAAACCAGAATGTGGAGGAGGAAATCTATCCCCGAAATCCTTTAGTTCTGTTTCCCTGCATTTTTGGGTCTTCCAAAAGTATTCTACCAGTCGATGCAGCCA